TCTTGGGAGGGAGACGGCCGAGGGCCCCGTACCGGAGATTGCCCCAAATCTGGTGTTTTTTAAGCAGGCGCTTCAGTTTCTGCCAGYGAAACGTGGATGTGCGTAGGCTCGCATTGCTGTGGCTTGTGGAATTGTTCTCCTTTTTGGCTTTTTGTCTTCTTTTCTTTTCTTTTTTACGTTTTCAGAGAGAGAGAGAGCAAGGGGACTGAGTAGCATGGGCTTTGCTTTTCCCCTCTTGAAGTGAATTTTTGAGAACTTGATTTGGCCTTGACTCCACTTACCGATTAGTCAAGAGCACTCGTTTGAAAACTTGGTGGCGTGTTCGCTCCAGATTTAACTTAGGATCCCAGTTTTCTCGTTCTCAGATCCATTTGAAGCACATAGTACTGCGACAGCAACGGTGTGCTTTGTCCTTTTTTTATTATTTTCTTTTAGTTCAATGGACTCCGTAACAATACGATTCACTGTTTGAGCACCTGTCAAACTCGTGACAGGCTTGCGTGCCCGTTCCACCTTTGCCATGGCGGCGGCCCTGAACAGCAGGCACTCTGTTTTGGGGCTGGATCTGGGGCTGGACTGGGCTGCTCTGGTTCTTGTCATTCAACACATTTTGATAGCGCTCCTCAGGCTCGCGTATGGATCCYGTCTGGCTAATAGCAGCCAACAGGGACTTCTGCAGAAATGTTTTTGCTTAAAATAGACTGGTGACTTCTTTTCACACAACTGACAAGTCTAAAACCGGGATGAAGGAGGAGTTAAAATACCTGCTGATGCTGCGTTTATCAGGAGAACTTTGGTAACACCTTTGAGTCATGCACTGTGAAGTAAAGGATGGTGTCCATCTCGTACACGGTTCTATATTTTTAGATTTGGGGAGCAACTGCTGATTTGGATGACCCTTCTTACTGGGGAGATACTGAGAGGATGACCTCAATAACAAATGGAAACAAGTGCCTTAGTTCAACTCTCCTTATGTTACATTTTGCACCACATTTCTCAAGTATTTATAATTTATTCAGCTTTTTTGCTACATATTTTTCTGTATTTGTATGTTGTTGGGAAAGGACTTTGTTGTGCACACAGCTGGACTTTATGGCGTTGGACACTTGAATTGATTTTATAGTCTTTACTCTTGCACTGCAGGCCTGGAGGTTGACTACTACTCGTGTCCCAAGTCTTGAAATCAAGCAAAAACTACCAATGCAAATGGATTTGTAAGAATAAAAAAAAGTTTTAAAAAAAGCCATAAAGCTCACCATTACACTTTTTTTTTTTTTTATACTACAGGAAACTTCACAGTTTTGCAACCTGATTGTGTCCCGAYGCTGTTGTGTGTTGACCAGGGACGATCCCTGGTCAGTCCCTACAGTCTGTCAAGGGCTGTAGCTGAAAATGACTCCTGTCCTGACAGAGCCGTGTGGCCAGTCGCCTTTTAAGTCCACGACAGCCCCTTATGAAGGCATCTTGAGCTGAGCTGTAGTGTGAGGAAGCTTTACTAGGATGGGTGGAAAATGGGTGGATTTTGGTGAAGTTTTTTTCTGTCTCTTTTGCAACTTTGACTCTACTTGTTTTCTATTGATACAGTATCTCAAAATATGGGTTAGCTTTTGTTAATGAAACAATATGTGAGACATTGCCAGAATGCAGAAAATACCCTGACATGGATGTATGTTCTTCAGTAAGACCTTGGAATGTCATTTCCTTTTCTAAAACAGAGCATACTGTGAGATTTCTCAGGTCTTCATTTTCTCTGAAGACGTAAAACATCATGAAGGCCATTATGGCAACATTAGGAAAAAACAGCTTATTTATGGAATTCCCTGGACTKGAAAATATTTTCAAGCTGACAGATAACCTTCCTTTTGAGATAGCTGGAACAGACCCAGAGCTAAAGGCAGGGCATCTATTGGGGGAAAGACGTGAAGCAGGGGGAGCTTCATACCCCAGGTCCTGCAGTTCTGCTCACATGCGCACTGCTGCTGAAACAGCCCATCCTCCCTCCTCCCCAAAAAGCCAATAYATAAACCACAGTGTGAGAATACAGCCAGAGACAAGGAGGTGTTTAATTCCTTCAGAAACCATTCTGCTGTTAGACTGTATCAGTTGCTTTGACAGTGGGGAGAGCGAAAGCTCTGTACAGGCAAACAGAAGTTCATACTGTTGTCCTCCACGTTACATGTGATCTCCCGCCCAAAAAGTTTTAAGGGAGAATAGTGAACTCTTCTACTTCTCTACAGAAGTTTGTTTTAAATCTGTCATGCATTACCAGATTACAGGATGTTACATGGGATAAATGGTATGATTTAGCCTTTCTTCAGATTGCTGCATCAATGAAATAGTGTGCTCTTAAGCTGATGTGTGATCCTAACAGTGCCAAGATTGACCCTTCATTTARGCACAATGTAATGTTTGGGATTTCTGGAGCCCATTCTCTATTCTGTACTTTGTTTATTAGTTGCCTCAGAGAAGAAGGAAACATTGCCAGAAAAAGGAGGGGAGAGATCTCTCCTTAGCAGAATTTAAAGGAGCAGCCATATGGTGACGGCTGTGTCCGGGCACAGGTGGTACCATGAAGAATCCTGGCTAGCTGTGCCTGTTGATAGAGGTTTGGAAATGTTCTTTGGTGTGCTGTAAACATCAGCATCCAGAACATGTAATGTYTCCGTGTGCTTTTCAGATGTGTGACCTGAAATTCAAGATGCAAGAAAGCACTTGCTGAGGCTAGATAGCAAATTCTGAGTGCTTCAGAAAATCGGTGCCCATCAAAAATCCTGCCAACTGTGTTAATCAAAGCACAACATTTTTGTGCTTTGATACCTGGTAAAGCGCTTTTATTTGGTATTTTTGTGAAAGGAAGGGGGARAGCTCTAGATGAGAATCAGACATASTTATTTTTTAATAGACAGGACATTTCTGTGCTTTTAAAATTTTACAGAAGCATAGATTTCCAAAGCAGGATTCAAAGACAGCCTGCTCACAGTTGTCTGTGAGCTGAGGTTACTRAGGGCTATGGAAATGCAAGGCTTGATCAAAGATTACAGTGGGCAGCAGTGTAAAAATGCWACTGGACCATGTGTGTACTGAAGGCTTGCAAGCCCACATCAGCAAAACCCAGGGCTGCTGCTCCTGGTCATAGGTTGAGACACATGGCATAATTACAACATTATTCTCAAAGGAATATAATAAAAATGAAGTAGTTTTAGTTCTGTTAAAGTCTAAAGGCCAGTAGAGTAAAATATTAAGTGAAGCATTCTTCCTGTTTAGTTGCATTACTGTTACTGTGTTTAATAAAGATTCAAAGCATAACTTTTGGAGGTTATGCTTATAACTTTTGGAGCTCATAAATATGCTCCCTCACCTAACTTAAATAAGAAATGGTATAGATTTACTGCACTTTTGGAAAAACTCCTGCTCCAAAGATTTTAATTTTATGCAGATTTCTGTTCCCCCACCATGGATTAAGGATTTAGGGGAGGAATAGCTGCCAAATGGTTTTATAGGGGTATATAAACCAAAAARGTTTAATACAGTTGCAACTCTGTAGGGGTAACTGTGAAGGATATTAAAGTTAAATCTTCCTTGAGCAATTTTTTGCCATGTACACTTACTTTTAAATTCAGATTTAAGTGCTTCAGAAAAGGACTGTGAAGCTAAATTTACTTTGGTGTCATGAAGATCTGCAAGCTTGCATGAAAACTACTTCTGTTTTATTTAAAATTGGAGCTTTCAGTGAGTATTTGGAAAGTCTGGCTTCTGCTCCCATTGGCTTCCCTGGGATTTGGATCCAGCCCAAAGTACTGCAGGAAGGTAGGGGAAATGATCCAGGTTTAATTGTCCATTCTGTTCAGAGTTTTGTGTTACGAGGTTAGGATAACATGGCACTGTGATGAATGTTCATCTGTC